GTGAGAGATGTATCGAATGTAAGCAGGCTAAGTCTACGATTAAACCACATGGTTTGTATACACCTTTGCCTATCCCGACGCATCCTTGGGTTGATATCTCTATGGATTTTGTGTTAGGATTGCCTAGGTCTAAGCATGGCAAGGATTCTATTTTTGTGGTTGTTGATCGATTTTCAAAGATGGCTCATTTTATACCTTGTCATAAATCTGATGATGCATCGAATGTTGCTCAATTGTTCTTTCGTGAGGTTGTGCGTTTGCATGGCATGCCTAGGTCCATTGTTTCTGATCGAGATACTAAATTTCTAAGCTACTTTTGGAAGACATTGTGGAAGAAGTTAGGTACACAACTTTTATTCTCTACTACTTGTCATCCACAAACTGATGGTCAAACTGAAGTAGTTAATAGGATTTTAGGAACATTATTGCGTGCTATCATTAAAAAGAACATTACGTCTTGGGAAGATTGTTTACCGCATGTTGAGTTTGCTTATAATAGGAGCGTGCATTCTGCTACTAAATTCACACCGTTTGAGGTTGTCTATGGTTTTAATCCCTTAACTCCGTTAGATTTAACCCCTTTGCCTGTTGCTGAGCGTGTGGATTTAGATGGTGCTAAGAAAGCTGAATTTGTGAAGACTTTGCATGAGAAGACACGGCTGAATATTGAGCTTAAGACAGAGCAGTATGCAAAGCAAGCCAACAAAGGGCGCAAGAAAGTAGTATTTGAACCCGGTGATTGGGTTTGGGTTCATATGCGCACAGAGCGTTTCCCCAAACAGCGACGCTCTAAATTGCTACCGCGAGGGGATGGACCATTTATGGTGTTGGAAAGAGTCAACGATAATGCTTACAAGCTTGACCTTCCAGGTGAGTATGGTATTAGTGCTACTTTCAATGTTTCTGATTTGACTCTTTTTGATGCAGATGCTGATTTAAGGGCAAATCCTTTGCACGGGGGAGGGAATGATGTGGACATCGAACCCTATCGAGGAGGAGGTGCTAGGGACCCGTTGTTCTATCCGCTAGGCCCGATCACTCGAGCGAGAGCGAAGGAATTCAAATAAACTGTCGGTATCATGGTTCAAGATATTTGGAATGGAGACAATTTGGATTTGAGACTTGAAGATTCTGAAGCTCCTTGGCGCAACATGATTACTCTTGGTCCAGCGAATTCCGAAGGAGCTTAGAATTGACGAACACCGAATTGGCTCAAATTTGGATGGACGCTTGGAAACAGGCCGCTGATCAATACTCACTACTTTTGTAGTGATTGATAACGTTTTTTAGCGATTTAGAGTCGTTTAGATGAACTTTTAGGCCTTTTTCCATTTTTGGACGAATTTTAGCAATTAAGGTTATTTTTGTAATTTTAATCCTAGTAGGATTAAGATTAGGGTTAGCACCCTATATAAGGTTGCTTATAGATTTCTAAGAGGAGAGACATAATTTTATATATAGAGAAGTTTTCTTCTTGAGTTCTTTTGAGGACTAGATCTTATCAAGGCTCCATTGTGGCGATCGAATTAAACTTATCGAGCAAGATCGCGAATTCTCTTGTTCGTGGCGTTATAGCGTAGATTGGTTGACACAGGTTCGTCAACAGGTCGCGTTCATACCGATATTACCAATCACAGGTTCGATTGGGGGTTGAGGTCAGCAATTCGTAACTCATAGATCTTCGTAGAACGATCATCTTCCGCACAGATTCATATCAATTGCTCCTTGTTCCTTCCATTTGTTGCTCATCTACCGGCCTTTAATACTGCTTGCGGTGCCCGCAACTTCCACTTCCTCGTGATCCTTTCGTTTTCCCTCTCTATAGCTTTTCTTACATCGTTGTTGTTTTGAGGCCTCTCCTTCTTTCTCCTCTATCTGCCATTGCTGATACTGCTCTCTGCAGCTCACTTACATGGTCTCATTCAAAATCTCCTTCGTCTAGTCGTCTAGTAAAGCAAAAGATTCTAATAGCTGTATTCGTCAATTTGTTCCATCGTCAACTGCGAGGAAGAAGAGCACTTTTGCCACGCACGGTTGCCGGTACCCATTTCATGTTAGAATTGTAATACCTTCTGGTGTCCAACTAGGTCATCGTTAGAAGCAACAAGAAGAAACAACAAAAACAGTGGTCGGGGGAAAGGACATGATTAATTCTATATGTACGATGTTTACTTAGATTTGTATGTTAAGAAAGTGATTGTGACAATAAACGAGATTTTATGTGTATCAAAGTATCCCACATCGATTGTCTTGATTACGGTTCATATCGGTCCAAACTTCAGACCACCTCCTTTTGCATTTTTTAAACCGTATAGATACCGCAGCATACATGTATCAAGATCCCAAATACTCGCAATGCACCATAGGTTCGGCACTTAGGTTGTGGTTTGTCCTTGCTATTTGCTTTTGTTCTGCTTGATTAAACTTCGAGTGTCGTGAATGAAACGGGATGAAAGAACGTCAACCGACAGTGCGAAAGAGAGTTCCCATCCTCAAGATGTGATTCATCTCGTTGCCGGTAGGTACGAAAACACCGACAGCACACGCAATTGTCAATTTACCTCTACTGTGTTCACACACACACTGGGCACTTGATAGCCCAATGCATCCCAACTCGTGAATGATGTTGGTCCCATTTGAGAATGTCGCCAAAATCCAGAACTCACATGCATTTGGGCTCACTTTAGAACTCTTCCAATGCTGGACTTGTTATGACCTGAACCGAAACGAAACACGTCATAATACCCATTTTATAACTGTATATCCGAATATAGTGAGACCCGAACCGAAAATACCCTAAAATTTCGTGCCGGTTTGTGTTTCGGTTCGGATATAGGGTTCGGTTTTGACACCCCTACTTTTAGATTGGTCAACCTTGTACCATGTACTCTTAGGACTGCGAGGTGTAACTCACAATTGTTGCGGATTCTTCCTCGTTAAATCTCCCTAAATGGAAGGTAGAAAGAGCTAGGCCACTCCATAAGACAAGCAAACATCACGAGAATGCTCGGTAACGAGTTTGATTCAGTTCATTAGCATGGCAACATATAATTGAGCACCTAGGTAAGCAACTAAACCCCAATGAAAAAAATAGAAACATTTTGAGAGGCATTGGATGATTATCTAATGGAGTGATTATAGTGGTGGCATGTAGTTAGACATATATGAAATAGGTAGGTTATTGGATGGACTAAGTTTAGCAATGATCAAGAATAGTATTGGAATACTGAAAGAGCCAGACAAATGACACTTTTGACATAGATATATAAATAGATATATAGATGAAATGGGTGGTTATTCTATGAGATGAATTTGCAAGAATGGTATTGAAATATTTAAGGAGTGAAATAAAGGGCGTTTTTGGCTTAGGTATATCTATTCAGAACGAAATGGAAAAACAAATTGACAATTACTAAGATTTAGCGAATTATTTTCATAATTTATACATAGGTTAACTTGGTTTCAATTTTCGATTATTGTTAGGAACATTGTTAGTGTCAAAAAAAACTTAGTACATATACATCATTGGACGAGTGATATGTGTGCTGCAATTAGTTTTATAACCTAATTCATGTCTGAGTATCAAACGAGTTTTCACAATGGCAATGGGCCAATAAAAATCCCAATTTTCTGCTTTCTTCTTAAATATCTCTTTTGATTTTAAAACCAATAAAATCACAGACTCAGTCACCAGGGAAGCTCTCAAGGCAAGGTAGCCCAACATTGTCCTTCTATTTTTGTTTTTTTAAAAATGACATAAATGGTCCGTAAACTTTGGCCCAATATGCAATGTCGTCCTTGAACTTTTAAATTATTCAATGTGAACTATGCTCTTTAACCCAATATGCAACATCATCCCTGAACTTTTAATATATTCAGGCTGTGTTCGGTAACTGGCCAAATAGTAACTGATTCTATTCTTTGGTTCCCTGAATCAATTTTGGAACAGAAATTCGTTTGGTAAATTTTTTGTTCCCGGGCATAAATTTGCACAAATTTGTTTCCAAAATCAGTTTTGGAACATAATCAAGAAGTAAAAAAAAAGTTGCTTCTTGATTCTAGGAACAAGAATCAAAATTGAAAAAGAAATTTTTTTTTCTTCTTCTTCTTCTTCTTCTTGGCCGACCGCCGGCGACCGGTCACAGGCCAGGGCCGGTGAGTGCTGCCCTCCCCAAATCCGGCGAGGACGGCTCGCAGCTTGGGCGAGGGCGGCTTGTGGCCTGGATCTAGCGAGGGCGGCTTGTGGCCTAGATCTAGCGAGGGCGGCCCTCGCCCACGTCTCTAGCCGCCCTCGCTAGATCTGGCGAGAGCAACAGTGAGGGCTAGACCCTTGCCCGGCCATGGCCTATAGTCAGTCGCTAGTGTCGACAAACTGGCCATGGCCAAGGAAGGGGAAGAAGAAAAAAAAAAAGAGAAAGAAATATTAACAAATTCAAAATATCATTAAAATATTATTAATAAAATGAAATTTTATGCAATTACCAAACGCATTTATGTTCTTTTTGTATTCTAAGAATAGAAATTTTGGACAGTTACCAAACCCCTTCAAATACTTAGAAATTGTTCCTAAGCATAGAATAAAAAAGAATCATTTCTGAACATAAATTATTTCTGAGAACAGAATAGTTACCAAACGCACCCTCAGTGTGGTCCCTGAACTTTTGGTACATAATCAATTTAATCCCTAAATTATATGAAGTACAACATTGGACATTTTCATGTGGTCTAGAGACTAGATTGAACATTTTTGAAAAGTTTTGCGACTACATCGAATAAATTAAAAGTTCGAGGATAATATTGCACATTGGGATAAATTTTAAGAAACACATTGAATAAATTAAAATTTTATTGATAATATTACACATTAAACCAAAGTTCAATAATATTTTATGTAATTATCATTTTCTTTTATATGTTCAAAAAGAAATGATCGATGTAAGCAGGTTTTGAGTTTTTACCTTCTTTTTTTTGGACTTTTCTTCTTATTTACCAAATCGTCAGACCTGAAGCCAAGATCCCTAGACCCTCTCCCTCCCTAGACGGTCGGCACCGGAACGACCGACGGCGGTTGCGACGGCGGCTACCTTGAAGTGCCCACCGGCTCCGGCGTCGCGGATCAAGCTTGCGGCCCCGGCGCGACGGCGAACGCCCTGACGGCGGAATTCATCGCAAGGTGCGTCGAACTCGCCAGGTTCTCTTGTTTTGCCATAGCGAAAATGCTGTAGGTGTATGCTTAGGGAGATTCGGTATGATGTGCCTCTTTCGGGAGCAGTCTCGTGTGTGTAATTTGGGGGCGATGGGCTCGGTGTTTTATCTGTCTCCGAGGAAACTTGGGTATTGTCAACTACTGCTCAATATGCGTTCTGCACTGAGGGAGTTGCTTCCGTTCAAATTTTCTCCATTTCCATTGGCCTTGTATTGTGATACTTAGCGGCGGAAACGTTGTATAACCTGATGGGGTTTGGGATTCTGTGCTGTTGGGAATCTGAGTTGGGACGTATGGTGGAATTTGCTTGAGTTTGAGCCGGGTTTCGGAGAGTGTTTGGGAGCTGTCACGTTCAGGCTTGGGATAGAGTCAACCGAACTCGTTCTGCTGCCATTGGTGCTCTAACATAAATTTTTCAAATTTTTAATTTTGACAAAGATACTTCGCTTTTCGAATGTTGAATCCCATTCGGGCCCAAAACAAATGGAGAAGCAACCCTCGATTTCCTGACTCTAGATTCATTCTTCGTTTCTTCAGCCATTCTTCTCCTTCCCTTCGTTACAAACTACTAGTTTTCTTTGTGTTGGAAACTTCACTGCGTGAACGAGATCAAGGTGGCAAGTTGAGTGAGCATTTTCTCTGCGTTGGTTTCTTGCACCTGCAGTCAATTTCTTTCCTTTTGTTGCTCCTGTTAGAGATTGATGGTGTTGGGCTTTCTTCCCTGTGGTTCGAATTGATGATCTTTCGCTTGATTGCGGATACTGTTGGAACATGTATCTGTATCTTGTACGGTCTCAGTTCCTTTGGCCAGTGAAATGCAAGTGTAGCTGCTGACCATAAATGTCTTAGTTGTTAATCTGAATATTCAACGGATACGTGTGTTTCCGTCCATTAAAGTCCCTTTGAAAAACATTGACCTGGTGAAGATTCCATTTTATTCGCATTGGTCGATTTGGAAATCTGTTTTTTTTTTCTTTTTAATTTTTTGCTGTTTTTTGGCAATGTATTCATGTTTGTATCACTTTCTGCCTTCATACTAACTTATTAATGTATCATCGATCGAGAAAACTCTTGCACATTTGAAAGCATAATGCAGAACTTATCATGAATCTCGATCGTACGGATATGTGTTCCATATTGATGAACTCTGCTTACTATATTCCTGCACCCGATTACAAAATTGTAGTTATACGTCTTTAAATGACAACATGGAATATACTTGTCATGCTTAAATACTAATCTTCTTCTATTAATAGTTGCGGATATGTGTTCCATGGGTTGCTGATTTTGTTTACTTGATTTCTACACTAGAACACTAGTTGTATATATATTACTTAAACTAAAGACAAAATACTTTCCGAGATTAGTTAGTTATTCTTTTATACTAAGAGCCACTGATTCAGTAGTATTTCTCACCAGTTGCAAAGCGCATAGCACAGGTGATAATTTACATAAACTAAAACAATGAAGGTACACGAATGTTATTTTTTGTCACTTTTGTTGGAAGGAAAAAGCTTTACTCTGACAATCATTGTATTTGGAATCATTAGAGGTCAGGATGTGCTTCTATGAAGTACATGAAAGATGCATATGATTCTGTCTGGACAAATCTGATCATGTATTTTGGAGAGAGGGCAAAACAGATTTTGTTGTGAGGATAGCAAATTGAGGAGAAATCTGTTTCCCAAATTTGTTGCTTGTCCAATAGTGAGTAATTAGACATGCTTATATTTCGATTAAGTATTGTGATTTTTCATAGGGAGGCTGGATGAGTAAATGTTCATAAGTGAAGTTAGAAGACGACCTGCAAATTTTTATGTAGATTCCAGAAATATAATTGTCTTGTCAATTGCTGATTGGATATATTTTGAGACTTTTTAGACAAAATTGTGGACGCTTTGATTCAAAGTTGAGATCACTTGAAAGGGATCAATTCTCTCTCTCTCTCTCTCTCTCTCTCTCTCTCTCTCTCCTTGTATGTGTCTGTGTGTCTTCTTGTTGTTGTTGGGGAGTGGAGGTAATCAATAAAATTATTACATGGAAGAGATTAATGGCTGGTCCTCCTGGTATGAGGTATTCACTCTGTAAAGGAGTGGACGAGATTTATTAGCTAATGTCCTTTTTGTACCCTGACACTAAACGAAGGAACCGGGACCCAATCTCTCTCACTCTCTCTCTCTCTCTCTCTCGGTAAAGAAGTGAATAGCTCTTGTAATGGTGATTGGTTATCTGTTATTTATTGCCAGTTGAGTATACTTTGTGTTCCTTTTTTCCTCGTTGTTGTCTCATTATATAGTTCTTATGCATAGTGAAGAGAAACTAATCTGCTGTCCTTAGTAAATGCTACAATTTTGGGCCAGAGCATAGAAGATGATGTGTCAATTGTTCAGTAAGATTGGTTATCATAAAAGATTAAAATCATAGGCATCTTTTTTTCACTTTGGGTGGGGCATATTTGTTTGTTGAATCAACATTTGTCAGTTGACATGTTTATTCTGTTGCAGGAATTTCTGGGTTTAATTGGAACTGTGGGGATCAAGAGTATGAATTTCGCAGCATCATTTTGTAGGAGAGTTAATATTAAAGAGCTTACCACCAGCATCCCTGTTTATAACAGTGCCAGTGGTAGATCTCTCTCTCTCTCTCTCTCTCTCTCTCTCTCTCTCTCTCTCTCTCTCTCTCTCTCTCTCTCATGCGCGCGCGCGCAGGTCTTACGATCTGCTAATTGCCATAATTTCTTCTGTTGGCTTAAGATGCATCTGGTGGAGGATTGAATTTGCTGTTCAGGCGTTGGGCCACTAAGAAGTCGGCTGGATCAACAAAGAATGGAAGAGACTCAAAACCAAAGAATCTTGGAGTGAAGAAGTTTGGTGGAGAGGTAAGTTACTCATGATTCAGCAATTGCAGGACCACCATAAGAAATGGAAGAAGCAAAATGTATCTGAAAAGCCAGTGGTGAAGAAGTCAATCTAGCCTATCGGTCTTTCTTATTCTTTCTTTGATGACATCGTCTTTTTAATAAATCTGCAGAGAGTCATACCAGGAAATATAATTGTTCGACAGCGGGGCACTCGGTTTCACCCTGGAAACTACGTTGGAATGGGGAAAGATCACACCCTCTTTGCAATGAAAGAAGGGTTGGTTCAGTTTGAGAAGCACAAGCTCAGCGGGCGCAAGTGGGTGAACATTGTTCCAAAGGACGGCCACATACTTCACCCCGTGTATGGAGAGGCTGCTGCTGCATCTGATCTGAAGACAGCTACTTAAACAACCCACTTTTGGAATTTGATGGTGTAATTTTCCAGCACAACTCCATATTTCACCTCTTTTCTAAACAATGAGCAGCGGGGGGTTAAAAGTCTGAAGTTATTGTGTCTTTTTCCGATCTCTCTTATCTGCTTTTGAGGCACAGGAAAGAGCCCAAGGTACAAGCTGTAATGCTCGGGATAAAATAGTTAATCCATTGTTGCTCGACTCTTTCAAAACTCAGGCACCAAAAGAAAAGGACAGATCTCTTTGATCTCTTGTTGTCTATGGAAGGATCTCAACGGTTCTTTGTCTACCCGGGTAAAATTGTATGCATATTTTCGCATGCATGCTCGCTAGTTTGCACTGTGATTTCTTGCTGCTGATAAGTCGCCTTTTTTCGGTTCTTCTTATGCATTCACTTGTCAGCACATGATTCTCTTGTGCTTATATGGTTGACATGAAGAAGACACCGGTTGGTTTAATTTAGTTCGGTTCCTCTAGAAATCGGGTAATCGTTTCTTTAAGACAGAAACATCTGAGGATATGTATGTTTTCGGCAGGGTGAAAGTATATCCTTGCGATCACTGCGACGTTATTGTCGATCTGTACAAGTAAATTTTGGTGCTTTACAATAGTCTGTCATTAAACATACGCACTTATTGTCTCTATTAACGAGATGAGCGGATATACATCGAGCGTTTATTCATTTCTTTAATCTTTTGAGTGAAAATTTTCTACTACGTGAGATGATGAAAAAGTGTACTGTAAGTTTTAAAGCTTAATACGAAAGTGCAATTGAGTTCTAAAATTTTCAAAAAGTGCAATCAAATTTTAAAACTGTTTACGAAAGTGCAACCACGCGAAAGTGCAATCGAATCCTAAAACTTTTAAAAAGTGCAATCTACTCTTAAAACTTGTCACGAAAGTGCAATCGAGTTTTACGACTTTTAAAAATTGCAATCTGGTCCTAAATCTTGTCGTAAAAGTGCAATTGAGTTCTCAAACTTTCAAAAAGTACAATCAAGTCCTAAAATTTATCAAATTAGTCCGACACTTTATTGTATTTTTTTAGAGTTTTAAGACTCGATTGCACTTTTAAGATAAATTTTAGGACTTTCAATATACTTATCCCTAAAAAAATTAGAGAACTCGCTTGTTTAAAATGATAATTGACATGCCAGAAGTAGCTAGTCGATAACTCTCTTTCACACTGAAAAATCACTGCATTTTCGCATGATCTGTTTGAAAACACATTGATGATTTGAAGGACACCAAATGAACATTGGATTAGCCGGTACGGTGTGGAAACCAATACAATTACTATGGAGCACACTTTGTTAATTGCATGTCAAGAAATTATCAGTGCACGCACATCCGGAAAAAAAAGTCAAATATATATAAGTACGAACAACGGGAATAATCCAAATGCGTTAATTTTGCGTGGAGATCATGTTGTATGTGCGGTGCAATACACTTTGTTCATATCGCATTTTGTCTTGTCAAATATTGCCAAGTGCATGAAAACTTTATTTTTTTAAAACAATTGCATAAAATAATAGAGAAAAACATGGCAAGGTTTTTTTTTAAAAATAAAATAAAAGCTTGGAAGTGGGTGTAAAAAAGTGCGAGTAGGTGGACACCTAGTCAATCTACCAATTTTTAACGCATTATTATGGTTCCCTTTGACCACAACTGGGGGAGCCATTTATCCGGGAAAATCTATCGAAAAAATTTTAAATTTATTGTATGAATGTCAATTCAATCTTAAACTTTTTAATCGTGCCAATTTAGTCTTCCGATTTAGTCATAAACTTTTCAATTGTGCTAATTTAATAATAAACATTTTAACGATTTGTCAATTTAGTCCTAAACCTTTTGATGATTTATCATTCAAGGGGTTTTTTTTTAACTATTCACAGAAATTCTATGTTATGTTTTCTGACCATAAGTATCCAGACATTGATGAGACAACAAAAGGCAACGATAGTTAATAAAGTAACCGGCTAAATACTGACATATAAGTCTCCACTTACATCAAAAGTATGATATCATCATGTACTGGAATTTTAAGAATAGATATATCAATAAATATGAAACTCGTGTAGTACAGTTCTTCATAAGAGCCCGTGCAACACATGGGTTTCAAAACTAGTGTTAATAACGATCCGCTACATCCGGTCAATTAAAATAATCGCTCAAATCGGCGCATGCCTCGACACTTCTAGTATGGTTGCTATTTCCATAATGTCGTTCTCTTTTCCGCCTCTCATTCAAGCGGTTTCGTAGTCTAATTACAATTAAAAATTTGCAGAAGATATAAAATTAATCACTAATGACGACGACGATAATTATCATTATCGAGTACTACATAATAATATATTACATTGCTGTATAGTAGCATAATGAATTGCAAATTTTACAATTCCGTATAATTCATAATTTAACAAATACCATGATCATTAAGTAATTAACATCTTAAAGAGCGAGGACATTTATCCATATCCTTATTACTACAGTTTCAAGTACAAATCGAACAGAGCAATGGTTATTCAAGCATCTAAATCAAATGGCTCGCGAAGTCCCAATCTAATGGAAAGTCAAAGAGAGAATTGGGAGAATCGTGCTGCACAGGCTGGAAACAAAAATTGTTAAAATCAAGGGTGAATAGCACAAAAAACCCTAAATTATGCCCACCGTGACGCAAATACCCGAAACTTTTTTTTATATCATAAAAAATCTTAAATTTGCCCATTGTAACAAAAATGCCCTTAACTCTTTTTGTGTCACGAAATAGAGGATATATATATATCCTATATTTCAATTCCATTCATGATATATTTGTCACATTAATATAAGTTAGGGTTTTTTTACGACACTTTAGGGTATGTGTGTCATAATAGGCAAAATCAGGGTTTTTTAGTGATATTAAAGAAAGTTCGGGGTATTTATATCATAGTATGCACAATTTGAAGTCTTTTAATGGTATTAACCCTAGAATCAACCGGCTTATTTTTCGATTCAATTCCAAACCCGACATGGCAAGCTTCCTTTTCCATCGAATGAATGAATCCAACATCCATTCATGCACACGCGGGTGTTCATTCGATTTGAGTGCGGGCATCCTCGGGCTAACAAAAGGGGTGGAGGGACGAGTAGAATTGTTACTTAATATATATATATATATATATATATATATATATATGAAATATTATATGTGACTTAGACAAATAAAAAAAGAGGTCCCATGGTCTAGTGGTCAGGACATTGGACTCTGAATCCAGTAACCCGAGTTCAAATCTCGGTGGGACCTTGGCCTTCTCTCTGTTTTTTTCACTCTTCTTCTTGCTCATTTGTAATCTCTCGATTTGCAAATTGTTTCTGTAGGCTTAATTGTATCATTGAAATGACCCACCGTCCTAAACATGTCGCATCTTGGTGCGTTTTTATCGAATTTTCTATTAAAAATGCCGTCGCACGCGTACATTTCGAAGGTTTACAATGAACTGTCGAGATCTATTCTTTTGTGATCAAACGGTCAACGATATTCGAGGATTGGATCCACAGGAATTCATAAAAAGCTTCAACATTGGCATTTCCAATGCCACTATAATCAACTTTCCACCAAAAATATAAAAAAGAAAAAAAAAACAGCGCAATCTATTATATTCAAGACATTTTTAACGCAATCTAATATCTCGAAAAAGTACAACCATTTTACATCCGTGACCCTTTTAACACCGCATTTCAAATGTTTTTGGTGATACCGAGCCCCATGGCCAAGCCTCGCTCGCCTGCACGAGCAAGTGCGCGCTCAAGAGAGAAGGGAGAGCAATGATGGTCAGCATGATGACAGTGGGCGGCTCATCTGTTGGTAATAGCTGATGATCGGAGATATCGATTGGTATTGAATTTGGCTAGAGGAGACCTGCGATTCGTGATATGGGTGATCGGGTTCCGGATGGGTCGATCCCTGGTCTAGAACCAAGAACCGACCTTGTGGCTTTCCGTTCCAAAATTTTGGAACCGAGAACCGGACCGGGCGATTATGGACCAGGTAAAATATAATTGTTACTTTCTTATTTAAATGGTTTATTAATTTAATAAAAAAAATTGAATACAAGATATTTCACTACTTTTTGGAGTCTTCATGGGGACTAAAGAAACATTCCTTAGGCAAGTGTGCAAAGAGGGAACTGACACACTTTACTAGAAGAATATTTGTGCGGGTTTTCCCTATCCTTTTAATATTCAAACACCCGCTCCTCTCTCTCTCTACTTTCTCTCTAGTCTCTCTCGTCTGCATCAAATTTTTAGTTCGGTTTTGCACGAAAAACCGGGAACCGGATCGATTATTTCTGGTTTCGAATTTTTAAAACCGGGAAACACCCAGAATTGGCTGGTTTAGTCCGCTTCCTGAGTCGGACCGGACCAATGCACACCCCTAGTTTGTGAGTTAGTGGAGGACATGTTCCTTTTTTATTTTCGTGGTATTTTATTTGAAGGAGAAGATATACAAGTCTTTTGTAAGCTTTTAGGTTTTGTTTGAGGACCTAAATTGTAAATTTTGGAAAGTGAGGATATGAATGCAAAAAGTGAGGGTGGGTTTCGAATATTTGCTTTCTTTCATGGTGTGCTTGGATTGAAAGGGTTGGAGAGAAGTAAACAAGAATTGATTTTCTTTGGATATTTTTTTTTCTCACAATTCATTTTCCATTCAACAATGGGAGGAAATGTAGGGAAATTAACTTTTGGTGTTCTTGTTTTTTTTTATTTTTTTTTTCCTGTTTTGCAATTTTGTCCCTCATTTTGTTTCTGTACACAAATAAGACAACTGATACTATACACTATCAATCAAACCAATTTCACTTTTCATGTCATTTCTCTTCTTAGCACACCCAAGCAAGTCAGGGAAATTTCCCTTCTTCTGTACTCACTTCCATTCCCTTCCCTCGTCGCTTACATAACCAAACAAGGTGTCGGCGAAATCTCGACTTTGGGAATGGGAAGGTCGATTGTTCAAACTTCAGTTCTTGAGACGTGGGAAAAAGCTATTTATGCCGGCTTCGTTTGTTTTACGAAAAATGAATGATATAAAAATATTTTCTTAAAAATAATCGCTCGCAATTCTTATAAAAATGAATGAACGAACGAAAAATATTTCATTATCCATGAAAATATTAAGATATAAATTATTATCGATGTAGAAATTTTTCTATCGACTAGTTATTTCAAGTAATACAAATTATCATTTTCAAGAAAAATATTTTTCAAATCAATTTTTTCCATTTTTTACAAAATAAACGGAGCCTGTTTCACAAATAATGTGACATTTACGGAAAATGACAACATTTTCCGGTGTTTAGCTGAAAGTTGATCTGTTGTTTAGTATGGCAAAATTTGATTTAATTTTCATAAATAGACATACACTAATTAGACTTTAGTAACTCAAGCATGGGCAGCTGGATAACCGGGCATCTGCACTAGAGTCCCCAGTCCGGCCTTAATGGACCTCGACCCAGGTGCTAGGGAACGGGGCATAGGCACCCGGGCCCTAGGTGCAGCCTTGATGGACCTCGGCACGATCTTTGTGGACCCGGGCACGATCTTTGTGGACCCGGGCTTGAGTGTTGGGGATCCTAGCTCAGGTACATCTCGCGCTCGCCCTGGGTGTCGGGGCATTGAGCACGAGCACTGAGGCTTCAGGTTGGGTCCGGCCTCAATGGACTCGGGGCCGGGCATTAGGGCCCCGGGTTCGACCACGATGGACCCGGCCATGGGTGTCGGGATCCGAGCATGGGCACCGGGGTCCCGAGCTTAACCTCGATGAATTCGGGCTTGGGCATCGGAGACTTGGTTTTGGATGTCGGGACCCAAGAACCAACGTTGGGGTTTCCACGCCTAAGTGACACCGATATCTAGTAATATTTTGAAAAATAATTGTCGATTTTTTAAAGTGAAAAATTATTCTTTTGAATTTAAATATAGGTTTTCCGTTGACTCGTTATCCTAACCGAATCAAAAGCCAGAAAGAAAAAAAATGAGAAAAACATTTTTCGGGAAATAAACGAATCCTCAAGGCGATTCCATGGTCCATTGGTGAACACTGAACAGATACTCGGATCGTAAATCCTCGCATCTTCCCGTATAACTCCCACGAACAAAAAATGTCGTTGACGCACGTAGTCTTGAAAGAGCTCTACGATCGACGGTCGAAATCAACTCCCCTTTTTTAAATTTCTTTCAATCGGACGGCCACGGTAGCGTTGGGATCCGTCCCACCACCACAACACCCGCCCTTGGAAACAACCTCGCCAAAATAAAGCACACCACGCCGCGCACTTTTCCCCCTTTATTCCACTTTTTCTCCGTTTCCGGACAAAATCCGCAATTGCCAAAATCAACCTCGGCGTGTCGCGGGGAGAGCCGCCGGCGGCGGCGCGGGGACGGCGGCGCTAGGGGCGTATCCGTGATTTCGCCGCTCGGATATTTTCCGCCCCCCCGGCGTGGGGGCCAATAAAAAACGTCGCGAGGGGAAAAGGAAAAGTAACGATGAATAATAATAATTAGGAAATTGAAAAATATCTTTGGCCCCCGCTGCCCCCTCCCCCCCCCCCCCTCGTGTCTATCCACCACCACCACCTCAGCTGTCACGTGACCCCCCTACCCCCGCCGGGGCCTACCTAATCCCCTCCCTCGCCCCGCCTCCCCCTCATGGTTAGATTTTAACCGCGGTTAGCAGAGCACGGGGGTCATGCCGCTTGTGGACGCCGGGTCAACTCGGTCGTTTCATGAACCACTGGAGTTTGCCCCAGTAGACACCCCTTTTACTTGAAAAGAAAGAGATGGGGAGTTCGAATCCTCACATTCTCGGAAGTTTAGAGGTGAGGACGTGTAGTTTTAGATATGAGTTTCGACTTTCACATCCTATAAGAGACAAGGCAAAAGTCTGAGAATAAATTGAGAATTAGAGTATGACAGATTAAAAAAAAACCCAGTCGGTTGACTTGCGCCCGCTCGGTGGCTTGCTTATCCGGGTTAAGGGACGAACAGGCCTAGCATAGCCTCGCCACGAGGACACTCCGGTCAACTAGTTGACCAAGAGCTCCTTTCGTGCGTCCGTTTTTCCTTTTGTAAGGGGAGAGTTTTGGTGATGGACTAACTCCTCGTCTTTTGAATTTGATGGAGGAGGACAGGGAACGGATTTGAATTTTGTAGCCGAGAGATTCCCGAGACTGATTGATTCGCGATCGCCACGGAAATCGATCCCTCGGGAATGATGTAATTTGAAAATATCGCTCTTCTCTCTCGTTTTTTTTTTTGAGTCAAATTTCTTATCTCTCGTTAAAAGTATTAAAAAACGAGAATGCATCTGTGATCGAAAGATATAGAGGTTCGCACCAATTCAAAAGTCTCGCGCGATATGTAATGCAATATTTCAATCTCAAATGTAGAAAAAAAATGTGAATGCACCAATGCATTCTTAATTGTAATGATACGCTAGGACAAAATCGACGGTATCATCATATAGATAATCAAGATAATTATTGAAAAATTAGCCTCCATTAGCTTTGAGTCTCCCTTGTTATATAATTTTTGTGTATAGCATATTCATCTCGCGAAAGCTATTCGGATTTTCACGGTTTTTTTTTCATTTCTTTGTGCTTGAAACATTGTCTATATCTTTTTTCGGCCACGTGTATGCAGGTGCTAATCTTACAAGTAATAGAAATTTGCCTTACTTACATGCCATCAACGGCAATCTTCTCAGTAGTTGACTCAGTTTTATCGATCGAGACCACTATAGGTAATCACCAAGTTATAATTCGATGAAATGTCAAGATGTTAAAATGAACAAATTCAATCTGATTACTCTTTAAATTTGCCTATTAGTTGAAAAAAAGTAGGAAAAATTCAAAATAAGGGCTTGAAGTGCCTTCAATTTCTTAAATAAGGACATGAAGTGCCTTCAATTTTTCAAATAAGGGCATGAAGTGGACATTATTTCAAATAAGGATTTGAAGTGAATCTTATTTCAAATAAAGGTTTGAAGTGGCTATATTAATCTCAAAAAAGGGTCTGATCTTACCAAGGTCAATGGCATTTTCGTCTTTTAAAATTTTTTATTATTATTTCTTCTTTTTTTCCTTTTCTGTTTTTTTCCCTCCTGCTTGTTTTTTTTAAAACAAAAATTTTATTTTTTAATTTTTAATCTAATTTATCTTTTCAACAAAAAAAAATCTAATTTAACTAAAATTTATGTTAAAATTATTTTTTGGATGAAAATGTTCTTGACCGGCCGGAAAATTTGGCCAAGATCATGCCATTATTTGAAACTGTTATAGTCATTTTAGGCCCTTATTTGACACAATATCTACTTCACTTCAGACCCTTATTTGTAATTTTCCCAAAGAAGTATTCAACGATGATGTCGATAAATTTTAGTCGTGGAGTCCCGACAACAAATTAATTTTTTTTTTGAGGGCTTATTGTTGTAATTTGACTTTTGGCATCAGAGCCGCTCGTTCCGGCCGTTTCTCATTTCAAAACGGTCGCCGTCGCAACCCTAACCTCACGCCAATACTTTCGTAGCTAGTTCATTTTCCTGCCGTCGACCACGAATCCTTCGATCAATCGACTCGCTTCACCCAACGAGAAAGGCCGCGGTAGAATTTTACATCCGAGTGGCATCGAGGTATTTAAGCGACGGGATAAATCAATTTATTTAAATTAAGAGATATTAGACCATTGGAGGAAACTTTAACTCAGAATGAGCTGTCTGAATGAATCTTTGGATTAGGATTAGGATTAGGCTTGACAGCCTCTCAAGTCCCAAGGCCAAATATCCCCCCCTCCTCTAATGCCTCTTATGGCAAGCAGGATCCAAGCTCCAGCTCATCCATGCATCCACCACATCCAAACACACCCCACTAACCATGGTTAAGAACATTAACCACGCCGTGCGCAATGCGCACCCCCCCCCCCTCCCCCGCCTCCTATAAATACCCGCCCCTCGCTTCTCTCTCGGAGGCGCGTTAACCCTAGAAATCGCCTCCTCCTTTCTCTTTCTCTGTTGAGTTCTCGAAGCTTTCATCAATGGCTTCCGCAGAGGTTGAGTTCCGGTGCTTCGTCGGCGGCCTCGCCTGGGCCACCGACGACCAGTCCCTCGAGCGGGCCTTCAGCCAGTTCGGCGAGATCCTCGAATCGAAGGTCCGTTTGTCGCCCCCGCAGGAGATCCAGATCTGACCGCGATCCGAGTCGACCCCCGATCTCGTTCCGATCTGATCTGATCTGTTTGTGTTACTTCGATCCTATGCTCTCTCTGTGTTACTGTTGCGCGCGAAAAAAAAAAATTTATGTTACTGTGACTCGAATCGGTACGTCCATCTTCATCTTCTTCACCAGAGACGGAAGATCGATCGATACACGAGCTGTTTTTCCCTCTCTTCCTCCGGCGACGGCGCGTTTTGGTGCGGATCTGATGTCGTTTCGCCGTTTTTGGTGCTTGTGTGTGCAGGTCATCAACGATCGGGAGACGGGGAGGTCCCGCGGCTTCGGCTTCGTCACGTTCGGCAACGAGAAGGCGATGAGGGACGCGATCGACGGCATGAACGGCCAGAACCTCGACGGGAGGAACATCACCGTCAACGAGGCCCAGTCCCGCTCCGGCGGCGGAGGGGGCGGCGGCGGATTCAGCCGCGGCGGAGGCGGCGGGTACGGGGGAGGCCGACGGGAAGGGGGCGGCGGGTACAACCGCGGGAGCGGCGGGTACGGCGGCGGCGGCGGGTACGGAGGTGGCCGGGATCGCGGCTACGGCGACGGCGGCTACGGCGGCGGCGGATCTAGGTACTCCAGGGGCGGCGGCGCCTCCGAGGGTAACTGGAGGAACTGAGTCCTCGTCGTCGGTGCTGCTTTTGGGTTTCTTTCGAAGTTCGCGTGATGTGATGTGATGTGATGTGATGTGAAGGCCTAGCTGGGCCCTGGTGTCGTGGTCTCTGTTCTCTGGTGTTATGGTTTCGTGTTCGGGTTCTCTACTTTTTTGATCGATGGTCACTCAAGTTACATGTCCTTGAATCAAAGGAAAATGAAGTACAGATCTTCGTTCTCAGCACCGATCTCCCCCTTCCTTCCCATCTTCCCTTGTGATCTGCTCTTCTTCCGTCTCCTTTTTTTTTTGATGCTCGGATGCTGTTGGAGTCGCTTTTGATAGGCGTTGCGTCTCTCTGTGAAACCTCTATTGCTGAGAGACGTGTCAACGAAAGCGTACATGAAATTTTTCAATACCAACCCCTCACTTTTACGAGCTGCGGCCCGTTGATTCGATGGGTCGCGGGCTTCTTCCGGTTGGATGATTACATTTGCTTGGCGGAGTCTGCAATTGATTCTGTCCCGGCGTTGCTTCCTAATGGGGTGAACGCCCTCGAAAGTACAAGCATGAGGGGATGATTCAAGTTTCCGAAGCATAGAGATCGAACAAGGTAAAAAAATTCAGTGTTAAACGGCGCCGGCGTTTCTTGATGGTAAATTCATAGCTAATTTTTCTCGATGGTATCGCAAAACACTCGGGAGATTCTCGTCGATGAGGAAAGAAAAAATGGCTACGGATTTCACAGTTGTCTGTGAAATCGAATCGTTAGTTTTCCTAATGCAGCGATTTGACCCACCGTTGCGCAATGATAGCGTCGGTATGATAATAATTGGAGACGTGCGAGGGGTGAGAGATTTGATGTCGTCTGGGAAGGGCATATGCTTCGAGCATATGCTCTGGAAATGGGATAAGCGTGTCACGGTTGAGGACCGCTCCTCGGTCCACGACAGTGATGTGTCGTGTCGTCCGTCCGTCCGTCCGGCGGTGGGTTTTATACGCTCCCCCATGTCTCTGTCGCCGTCCCTTTCTCTGTTCTTTTACGCCTTTGTCGTCGTCCTCCTTTTTCTCTGATTGAGAAAACGATCCGGAAGGGTAATTGCTTCGAAGGTGCCCCCCGTTGATGCCAATATTTCCCAGTAGGACCCAACTCGAATCTTTTACAGTCTAATCGAAATCTTTAAGTATCTGCTTGTCGGAATCTCTCATTTGATCGCACTTTCTCTTAAGAAGGTCGAGCGGTAATGCATTTTTTCTTTTTGACCTGCCCATATTCTCTCTTGGGCTGTCGGATGTCAAATGAAAGCCCATCGTCTTAGCATTTCTTTTTGCGGGTTCGGCTTTAACATTTTTATTTTGCGGCCTCGTTTGGACAGTGGGTTTCGAGCCCCGGAGGATGATGTCGTCGTCTCCATAATCGAGACGATTGTGTTGCTTGTCATGCGGCGTTCAGTGGCATTGGCTTCGACGAGATTGAGATTGGGTTCGGGGGTCCCTGGATTATACGAATTGAAGATGGCCGTGGATGGTAGAGACCCATCCTTTTAAAACTCATGCCATGGACTCTCATTATGTGACGAGGCCAATTCCTTGAAAGAAAGCCAAAGCTTTTGCACTGGTGATACATATAATACAACCTTTCAAATGGACCCAAAATTTGACCCCAAAAAAAAATGTACCAAAAAAAAGGCCCAACCCTTTTACCCGTGGTTCAAAATGACGTTTGTCACGGATTTTGTCTATTCTTACAAACAAATTAGCACGCGTCATCGGACAAAAGCTCCCTATGCTAATGAATAATAGATAGCCGAATTAATCGTGATAAAGAATTGACTCTTTTTTGGAACAAAGTGCGAGGAACTCAATAACAAAGTTTATATCCTAATTTCGCGACGAATACTATAAATAAAAAATGACGATGATTCTTGTGCTGTTGATGTGGCGCTTGTAGAGTGGGTCACGTAGGATGACGAATGGCATTTTAGAGGTAAGAATGGGCGTTATTTGTAACGGATATCGTTCTCATCCCACGGGTCAAAGATCGAGCTTATTTTCTCTGTGAAGGTTGGGCTACTATCGTCCCAGGTGCATAATGTCGGGCTTTTCTTTGGACGTTCGAAAGGTTGTGTTGAAAAAAACAGAAAAAGAAAAAAAGAGGTTGTGTTCATTTCATCCCATTGGACTTTTTTTTCCCTTCCGGATTGGCTGAATATGTGAAAACTTGCTGAAAACCATTGCATCCCCACCCACGAACACATGCACTTAGACATGGCCACGGGCCGGTTTTGGCCCGGAACCGGCCCGGGTCAAACCCGGGACCGGCCCGTTGACCGGGCCCGCGGTTCGGAACCGGAACCGGCCCGTGGCCTACGGGCCCGGTTCCAAAAAAAAAAAAAAACTTGAGTCATCTTCTTCCCAGATCTGAACTATATGCACGGAAAAAATAGATTTCACTCTGCAACTGCAAGTTCGCTTCGCGTGCGAAAGTGATGAAGGTGCTGAGAGAGTAGCCATGGCGGCCATGGCTTCCGTTTCTCTTCCCATCCACGGGCTCCCCGGCTCCCGCCTCTGGCCTTGCCACGTCGAATGCGGCTTCGGAGGCCCTCCTCCGCAGCCCTTTGCCTGAGCACGCCCCGTCCGACGCCGCCACCTCGGCCGGGCGGCGAGCCCCGGGCGCCCGTTTCGTCACCTGCTCCGCCTCCAACAAGCCCTCCCCCTCCCCTTTTCTCCTCCGCCCGCCCCCCGTCTTCCCAGATCTGACCCCCGCCGCCGTCGCCCCCGCCCATGGCCGCAGCCGCCGACGCCGACACCCCCTCCTCCTTCCCCCTCGCTACCCTGCGCCTCCTCACATTTTCTCCTCCCCCTTCGAACCGGAACCGGAACCGGCCCGGAACCGCCGGTTCCGAACCGGAACCGGAACCGCCCCCTTGCGGTTCCGGTTCATACATGGCCACGAACCGGAATCGCCGGTTCCGAACCGGAACCGGCGGTTCCTGAACCGTGGCCATGACTACATGCACTCGTACCCGTCCCCCCAAGTCTTTCGGAGTAAGTACGACAAACTTTCAGTTCTTATGTTGCGTTTAGTCGTCTGGATTTCTAGTTAGGATAAGACTGGATATGATAGGATATAACTATCTTATCTATTTTGGTGAATCGTAGTAATAAAGCTGGATATTTTCACATCTTACTATGTTCATTATTTGCTATGAACGTCATATCAGTGTAAATGAACTTAAAAATGCACAAACGGAGATGATAAAAATCTCTCATCACACTCTTACCTACTTTATTGTTATTTGTGTTGTAAAATATTGCGCTGCAAGAATATAATAGAGAGAATAGAGAGAGATTAAGTAGAGAAAGTAGATAAACACCAAAGATGGTAGAGAAAGTCAGAGGAGAAATTTTATTTTCACCGTATATTTTCCTCTTTCATTCTCTTCTTCTGATCTGATTTCTTACCCAATGACCAAATATAATCTCCTATTTATAAGGAAACAAGGATGCACATATCATTAATGTCAATGTATTGAATATATACATTGAATAGGGAGATGGGCATTCATACGCAGAATGTAGGTTACGAATGTGCCATAATAGGTACATTGAATATTCATTCATGTATGTAGGTTACGAATGTGCCATAATGGTACATTGAATATAATGAATATTCATTCATGTATTTCATAACACTCCCCCTTGAATATTCATTGTATTCATGAATGTGCATTGAATGATACTGCCTCATTAAAAACCTTAAGCCAGAAAAACCCAATGGGACAAAAACCGGACAAAAGGGAAAAAGAGTGCAATGCATAGTTCACAATATCTCCCCCTCAATTTGAGCTATATAGCCACTGCTGGGGCTAGTTAATCTTGCATCTTATGAACTCGCCGCATACCAATGCCATATACTAATTTCTCAAAAATTGACGTTGGCAATGATTTGGTAAAAAGATCTACAAGATTGTTTATGGATTGAATATGCTTAACATCAATTTGTCGACTTTCTTGGAGTTCGTGAGTATAGAAAAATTTCGGCGAGATATGCTTGGTCCTATCACCTTTGATATATCCTCCCCTAACTTGTGCAACACAAGCAGCATTATCTTCAAAAATTATAGTGGGAGAATTTGTAACCGGTGTTAAGCAACAAGAATTGTGAATATGTGTTATAACGGATCTTAACCAAACACACTCTCTTCCAGCTTCATATAAAGCAATAATCTCAGAGTGGTTGGAAGATGTAGCTACTAGCGATTGCTTCGTAGAACGCCAAGAAATGGCGGTGCCATTATAACAAAATAAATAACCAGTTTGAGAGCGAGCTTTATGTGGATCAGATATATATCGAGCATCAGCATATCCAACTAAACCAGAGGTAGTGGAATCCTTGGAATAATATAATCCCAAATCTATGGTTCATCGGAGATAACGAAAAATATGTTTAACTCCATTCCAGTGTCTCCGAGTTGGCTCAGAACTAAAACGTGCCAATAAATTCACCGCAAAAGCGATATCTGGTCTCGTACATTGTGCCAAGTACATCAAAGCCCCAATTGCATTGAGATATGGTACTTCAGGATCAAGTATCTCTTCATCAGATTCTCTAGGACGAAATGGATCCTTTTGAGGATCTAGAGACCTTACAACCATAGGAGTGCTCAATGGGTGAGCATTGTCCATGTTGAAGCGTTTAAGTAATCTTTCAATGTATGCTGATTGATGGACGATTATTCCATTTGCTTTATGCTCAAGCTCTAGACCAAGACAAAGTTTGGTTTTACCCAAATCTTTAACTTCAAATTCCTTTTTCAAATACTCAGCAGTTTTAGCTAACTCTTCTGGAGTTCCAATTAAATTTATATCGTCGACATAAACTGCTACAATAGATTTCTTAATAAACACGCATGGGCAGATAGGATCATTCTTGTACCTTTCCTTAATTAGGTACTCACTTAGGCGTTGATACCACATGCGACCGGATTGCTTTAACTCGTACAAAGATCTTTGCAATTTTATTGAGAATAAGTTGCGGGGAGTGCATGCATCAGGCATTTTGAATCCCTCGGGAATTTTCATATAAATATCCGAGTCTAATGAGCCATATAGATATGCCGTCATAACGTCCATAAGACGCATTTCCAATCTTTCAGAGAGTACCAGACTAATGAGAAAACGAAATGTAATCATATCCATCACAGGTGAATATGTCTCATCATAATCAATCCCAGGTCTCTGGG